ATAGGCAGGAGACGAAAGAGGATGTTTGCCTCCCTGAGTGTGGCCTTCATAATTCCATTCCATCACATTCCCACTGCTTATGCCTAGGTGATTGCTTCACTCCGCCTAATGGTAGGGCTGGCCTTCATTTTTGGTGATAACTTCTCAGATTTTCAATATGGACTGTTACATTTGGTGCTGAATATACAGGGCCATTCAATGGAATATATTCAGATTTATTTAGATATATTAATATCTATGTATCTCTATATGTATGTGTATATATAGCTACACCTACAATTATGGATTAACTGCTGCTCTTGAATATAAACACTGATGAGGGCAAAGACCATGGTGAGTCAGGAGGGAAGATTCACCCCTATGAAAACAGTGGTCCCAGATTATCCGTGCTATGAATCTGAATGGAATGAAATGTACAAGAGTCCTTAGGAGATCATCAATTTCTTTAGGCCTGTGTTCACTTTTAGAAATTTGAAACATTATTGTGTCACAGACTCAAAAACACACACACACACACACACACACAAAACACCCTGTTTGGAATTGTCTGTGTAGCACTGGTTTGTTAAGCCAAAGTCACCTTATCTATTGGAAACACGCACAAATTATCTACCTAAAAGCACCACAACAATAAACACTGTAATTTGGAGAAACACAGGGTGAATGTGTTTGCAACATTCCTGTCCTCTTTTCTCACCCTTTGAAAGAAGAGAAAAGGCAGAGTGATTGGAGCTGGTGGACTACCTGATACCAGCAACGAAAGCCTGTATCTCTGCATGTGCTCATCTGTATACAGTAATTATTTTTCAATTAATAATTTCAGAAGAAGGAACTTCTCGGGGGCACCTAGTGAGGTATTTTAAATAAATCTCATAGGGGCTCTTACTTTGCATTCCTCCTCTGTGGCTTTCAGAATTGAGGGAGGGGATTGGTTCAGGACTAAATGGAATTTTTGTTTTCTTCTTTCCTCCGCTTTTTCAGAAGTCTGCTGGGGACAGATAATGCCAGCTGACATGATACCACATTTGTTGAATACCGTCAAGTGCAATTCAGTGGAAGCAAATGAAAAGTGATGTGTGCTGGCCTGCACGTACATCCACCTTCACCCAGATGTATGTTAATGGGATCTAAGCTATTGGTGAGTAATTAGCAAAGAGATCTTGGAGTCATGGAGGAGAGTGCAATGAAAATGCCAACCCAACTGCAGCTGTTGTAAAAAGTGGATCCAAAATTATCAGAGCAGCTCACCTATGAAGCAAGACTAGAGTATCTACTGTATTTTAGTTTGAAGATAGAAAATTGGAGAGACATGATAAAACTGCATAAAATAATGTATGGAATAAACCCTATGGAGACAGAGTTTTTCCTCTCCCAGTGTTAGTACTCCGTGTCATCCTTTAAAACTAAATATAGGCAGATTTAGGACCAATCAAAGTAATTACTTCTTTAGATGACACATAGTTCAATTATGGGATTCCATTGGCATCACATGTGGTCAGGGCCACCAATTTAGATGATTTCAAAAAAGGGACTGGACAAATTCATGGAAGATTGGCCTATTCGTGGCTACTAGTCTTGAAGGCAGTTTACCACTTCTGGAATGATTGTTACCATCCCTTAAATACAAAACTGAAGAATAGCTACAGTGGAAGAAAAGTGGATAGGCCATTAGCTGTTTTTATCCTACTCTCATAGGTGCATTCAGATTTTCTGAATTTCTCCAAGGGCCATTGTTGTGGAAAGGAAGAAAATGCTTTGCTTCTTAAAAGGTAAATTTGAGTACTGACTATAATTTCACTGCCTTATTTGAAACCAACAAAGATTCTTCTATTTTACCCGGGAAATCTTTAAAAAAAATATTGCATTATGAGGTGCTTCTGTTTAATGTTAAAAGCAGTCAAATAGCCAGTGAAACACATTTCTAGTACACATCATTATATATAATTTTTCATTCCACTTCTTTTCTATTTTTTCCCCCAATACCTTGTGCCTGGGCAGTATCAAGCTATTTATTTATTCCACTTACATCTTTCCAAATCTTTCAAGGATTATGAAAGTTTACAGTCATAAATCAACAATTAAGACATCCCCTTAGACAGAATAATCAACCAACAATTAAAACATCCACACTAATGATGTAATAATAATGTACAAATTAATAAGTCAATCAAATAATATTAGTGATTGAACAATTATCGATCAATAATACAAAATAATAAATTATGAACCCAGTCTCCTTCACATTTTTAATTGGGGAGGGGGGTTGACACTGAGAAGTTCTTCCAAAGTGTTCACTATATTAGCATATATGAAAATGGCCCTGGTATGAACCTTCTCAGTAAACAAACCAGACAAAGGATAATATACAGTACATACCAGTTTCCTGGTCATGATCCATGACTTCATTTGGAATATCATGAGAAATGATTGAACTTTTCAGCAAGAGTGTGAGAACATTATCCATTTTCTCTGCTGCTGAAAACTTGAAAGCCTATGGGGGTGAGGTAGGGTTAGGTTAGGGTAAGGGCAAGGAGAACAAAGAAAAATAACCTGAGGGCATACATTATTTGTATTGTCAAAGCAAAAAGCAGAATAAACACAAGCTCACGTGGGAATATTGTGCACCACTGAATCTGGAAACAGCCATTAGTTTTTAAGACAGTTACTGGAGGTCTGGTAAGAGGGATCATTTCTCAGATTGGTTTAAGGGCACAGAAGATCACTGAAGATCAGTGGAAGTTTGTAGTTGCAACTATTTCCTGGAGAAACACAAGTCCTGGAAAGTGATTAAAGGACAGCCTCAAGATAACAGAGGCAGAAGCTGTGGTCTCCTGGATGGGCATCTTCTAATAGAATTTACATGGCTCACACAAGTGGGCTACTTCTGAACAGCCTCCCAGTATTGGAATAGACTCCTGCTTCTTTTCCTACCTCTGAGAACTCAGGTAGAGCAAGTTCAAAAACCCCTGCAAAGTCTGTTTCCAGAGATGATAGCAAGTTACATATTTTCATAATGTGCAGCAATGTTTCCATTGCTATGACTGCTGCCACGGGGTAAAAAATATTACCAGATAAAATTCTAAGGTTATCTGCCATCATAGGTTGGCTATGAAAGGTAAATGTGACTTTGGGGCTTAGAGGTAAGATATCTCAGGTTAGTGCCATGCAGAAAAGAAATGTTCTGCCCTTTTCCTACCACATCTTATTTGATTTATTGAAAAGCACATTGCTTTTGAAATTTATTTCAAAGGAGAAGAGAATTTTGGAGAAATTCCTTTGGACGAAGTGTGGTTGCCTTGCAATTATTTAGTAAAAAGAAGTCCAAGATATGTGTGAATTTCAGGGCATCATTGCAGGCTCTGAGATGTTGTTTGTCCAATAAATCCCACAGTAAGATGTTATTTCTATTTTTCACATTGGGAAGTAGGGGTGTTCCAGGGAAGGCATTGAAAAAGTAAAGGTGGTGGCTGTAACCATGCAATCAAAGACCGGTCCCTTTTTTATATGTATCATTGACCCACTTAAAAAAGGGTGTGGCTTCAATTGCATGATTGTGGTTGTCATCTTTTTTTTTTTTTTTGGTTTGTTTAACACTTC